TCATTGTTCATCTTTCTGTAATTCTATGGTGTCACCCTTTCTATCGATTAATAATAACTTAGCTATTTTTTTTAGTTGTTATCACTATTATTACTATAATTTTATACTTTATGCGTATTTTTCTCCTTATCGTATACTGTAATTGCTACATAGCTCCTATAAAAACGTTTTGTTATCATTATTATGTATTAATTATTTCGTTTATCTATTTTTTGTTGTTGTCGTTTTTGAGTAAATAAGATGCAATATTGTACTGAATGCTGAAAATTCCTTGCTGTATCATTAATACTGTTTTTGGAATAAAGCAAAAATTATTATTATTTCTTGATTATACACATGCATTCCCGACCTACTCACCGGCAGTTAAGATGAGGTCAATGTCGCTCTGACGGTTACATAATTGAAACAATTCCTAACTGAGACACAGACGTATACCCTTTTTCACTTAAGATGTCAGTTACCGTGTAATCAGATTCTCACCGTCACTCAACTGACTGACATCTTCTCTGCTGTCTCTCAACCACTACTTCATTGTCTATGTGGAATAGCCTGTTTGCTTCATTAGTAACTCGGGCTATTCAGTCACTCATCGACATTGAGTATTTGTCAGTTGAAGGGCTATTTCCTTGAGGCAAAACAGTGAAGTGGTAATTTGGTTAAGAAAGCACCTCTGGTATTTCTCTTAGAAGTGCCTTACAACACTATCTGGGGGTGACTTTTCTATTCCAAACAGCGCTTCACAGCAATGTAGAATTTTCACTATTTTTAAAGGTCAGCTACACCTGGCATTCCCATCGAGTCACCTTTTCATCAAGTACTAACTGGGCCCTACTTAGCGTACCTTCGGTGATTGGAAGTGAACGAGTGTTTGAAAGTGGTAGTACTGCTATTTTTGTCTGCTGATTTCTAGAAAACTCTAATACTCCTGCCACAAATGGGAAAGAACAAAGAAAACTATAAAACTCAAGTTTTGAAGTCGTGTGATTATAACTGATGTGACTGTAAACCACAATAAATTGTGCTCGAAACATTTTCATGCAGTAAATAATACTATTTCACTCACTATGTGATTTATCTAATAAAAAATTGATGTAGACCTGAACGGATTTAATTTTGCCTACTTCAATAATTACTTCGACCTCCAGGAACTGAACACAAGTAGACGCCTTGCATTACCCTACTTTTAACGAGAAGATTGAAAATTGCAAGAGTTAGCCTACCTTAACATAACTACGTTTCCTAAACGGAGGTTAGTAACAGACTACCATCCATCGTCTTAGGGTACAAGTAGTAGAATGGTTATTCTTAGAGTCACTCCTGAAGATCAATTTGGCATTATACACACTATAAACGTAATTCTGGACTCAAACAATGAACGAACTGAGTAGCGCAATTACGGAAAATTTCAAAGTGAAAATTTCGTCCGACACTGAAGCTATTGGCTGAGAACGCTCTTCCACTCAATATGGCATAAGAACAGTTTCCGTTTCAATCCCCAAGTGATGTTAGCCATCATTATATGCCTTCCCACATGTATCCTGAATGGTGTCAGAAATGCAAGGACGAGTGTACTTTTTGGTAGGGGCAGCACATCGTGTTTCATATAAGAGCACCACAATATTGACAGTTTCTTAAACACGATCGCAGATTCCCAATAAGTCAGAGATATGTGCTACAACAGATAAATGTGGAATCATTCGACAAATTTCTTGCTCTCATCTCCTTTATAATACTACGCATCTGATAAATTTTATTTACATGGGCCGCCGAGTCAAAACTCGACGACTCATCAGGTAAGAGAGGACAGAGATCCTTGTGACAGCAATAACTACTAAATAATGTGGTGGAAATGCTCGTTTTAGCCTTAACAGCCTCTGCAGTTCCGTCTTCTTCCTCTCCTAACTTTATCAAAGTGAATTTCGAAAGATTGATAGGATTCTCCATGCATCGTCAATTTTTATTTCATTGACTAGCTGTGACATCTAATGAAGTATTTGAGTAAGACTGAAATCACTAAAATGTAGGTCTTGGGAGAATTGTCGCACCTACTACTGACGTATAGGCACAACTCTTTTTATCAGAACAGTTTTGAAACGATCCTGAAGTTTTGAAGATGGATAGGCGATGACCTCACACTTATCGTCGATAATAGTTTCAGGAAGCCTCACAATAACTAAGTGACACCTAAGACAAAAGGTGAAACACATTTCCGCATGAGCGAACCCTACGAATGTTCGGTGTGTCCAGAAGGTGTTGTAGTAACTGCAATCTGCACAAGAAAGTTGATTTCAGCATTTAGTGTGGTACGTTATGATGAGAACATACATTAAAATGCCACAATTATAAAATTAATCAAGCAGAAAAATTAATGAAAAAATAGTAACAATCAGCCACGAGAAAACAAACCAAACTACAACCAGTAAATAACTGAAAGTATTGATAAACCAAACTGCAGATATGGCACGGATTCACGAGTTGTAATTGACAGGTTGTGTGGTCAACATTTCACACTATACAAGCCTCACTAGATGGAATGTACTAATGTCACAATTTAATCTGTACTTTACCAAACCTGCAACTGCTATTAACAAAAGTTGAATAAAAAGGTTTGGCTTTTTAAACAAAATGTTCTGCAGAATGACTTGTTTAGAAAACTGAACGTCACAATAACTTCGAGAGAAGCTTTCAGGAACTTGTTTAACCATTGTGGCTGAACTATAACCTCTAGCTTCGTATATGTTACCAGATCGAAGAAATGTGTAAAACAGCGTCCAGCCTGGTCGACAAAACACACCGTAATATAACTTCAAAAATCTAAAGCACCCTCGAGTCGGGCAGAAGTTTGTCCATTCATAACTAAACTCATGCAGTTTTAGCCCTATATTAATTCTGGTACAGTGAAAGATGCATCGCGACTGGCCTTTAATGGAAAGCAGATACTTTCTGCAGTTACTCCATAGTTCTCTGAAATAAAGTGATGCCGTGGAAGTTGGATGGTGAATGTCTGACACGTATATACACAGAACACGCGAATTCTATTTTGAAAAGTTCCACTTTATATGAGAACACTCACTGACTCGTCTTCAATCTTCGTAACGTTTGTATTTTCCAGAAATTGTTTACACAAGTCATCATAGTTTTCTAAATTCCAATAATACACAACCCACAAACAAACCGTTAGGTGATACGCTGATTTGGTTGGATGATATTTTTCTCATCAGATGTCGAATGAGTTCAAATTACAATTCACAATTAGTATAAGACTTGATGAGATTCGAGTGAGAAATACTCTGCTAAGAAACAAAACGTAATCATGATCTGTTATTCTGCGTTGTGCGTGGTTCTGTTGCTCCTAAATAATGCTAGTCGGCGCACTCTCGCTATAGTCCCAAAACCAACAGTTTACAACAAAGCTTCAACAGCCTGCAACCTGATGCAAACACTCACCTACGAACACAACTACCCAACATGCTTTATACTCACAGACGCACTGAGAAGATTTCGTCTGCATCTAGCATCACAGCACCCGCCAATTCCTCCAGAAAGCAAAGACAAATGTATCATAAACAAATTGAAAATTGAAATCATGGATGGATGTGACGAAATTGCAGATAAACTGTGGCCGCGTTATATAATGAACGAATCATGTGAGTCAGAACACAAGAAGTATTTCATTCACCACTTTGCAGATAACGTGAACATTGAAGATACAGAAATCTGGATAAGTTCGAAAGAGGTTTGGGGTGCACTACGTGCCCTTGAAACTGTACTTCAGATGGTGTACAAAGATGAATTTGGAGGAGTGCGTTCTCTTTCTTGTTGATAACTTGACTTCATTATTATTATTATTATTCATCTAGAATATGATATTTAAGGGTTCTGTGGAAGATGAACCATTATTCTTACATCGTGGAATACTCTTAGATACTGGAAGTAGTTTCATTCCAGTTGAAACTATTCGGAAGACAATAGTAGGAGATGTGATATTCGGTATAGTATTTTCTGTTTTCAGGATATCATGGCTATGGTTAAAATGAATGTATTCCATTGGCATATCACAGATGATCAATCATTTCCATTTGTCTCAACCACCTATCCAGAACTGTCAGACAAGGTAAGTTGAGTCGATGTTCAGACGTTTATTATTCCTTATGCTTGTCTCAATATCAACAGGGTGCATATCATCCACAAAAGTGTACATATGATGAAATCGAGGTGTCTGATTTGTTGGAATACGCTCGTCTCCGTGGAGTCCGGATCATTCCAGAATTCGATACTCCAGGTAAATAAGTTTGAAGATATTTGGTATGATGTAATTATCCACCAATTGTGCCCACATGAAATGATGTTATGTAAATATTTGAGTCAGTGTGATAGTGTTCTCGAAATAAAGCCGCGAATGGAACGTTGAACCATGAGTTAGGCAGAGGCACTAGGTTTGGGACTGTAATGCGGATTGTTCATGATATATTTTCAGGTATATTAACTCAGTGAGGTGATGAAGCGCATTAGTGCTGAGTTGCATGAGAGTTTCATATTTGACGAAAGCGTTTATCGCTACTCTGTGAAGAAAAGACCACAGTTTTATTCGAATCATTGCGGGTTTACGGTTCCATTTATTCTTTTTCAAACGCTTCACGTAAACCAGAAAACGTGATGAAGAATTCGAAAATCGAATAGCTTGAATGTAATTAGTTGAAGTGTCAGTAAAACTTTCTAGTGATTGATCACTGCTTTGAAAGTCATAGGGATTATCATTGAATGAAGCCATGCAGCTCAAGTTCCCAGAGCAACGGCCAGTTCGCCCTTATTTAAACATTATTGTTGTTCATAACAACAATTAATTCACTACTTTTATGTATCCATACATGTAGAGCCTGATGATGAAGTTATCGAAAACAGTATTCTTTGTTCAGTAACCATTCTTTTGAAAATTTTAACGGACACTTCTAAAAGCTGTCAAAATGACCTTCACTGGTTGTCAAAATACTTCCTTGCAGCGCATACATTGTCATGGGGAAAAGTATTTCCAGACTTACTAACAAAATGTTATCAAGACTCTAAGCCAACTGGACAATTGGGTCCAATGAATCCAGCCAACGATTCTACATTTGAGTTTTTGAAGAATCTGTTTACAGAAGTCACAAGCCGATTTCATGATAATTACATTCATCTTGGAGGCGATGATATAGATTTTGCCTGTTGGTGAGTTTACTCATATTTTATGTCACTTTTCATTGAGTAGACGCGTTAGGACATCCCAAAGTTCTCAAAGAATTCTGACGGAAAACGTTTTCTTGCTTCAGATGAATGCAGGTTGAATTCGCCTCATCTAGTACATTTTATCACTACTTAAACGTTATATTTGTTTGAATCTCAGCCAAGTTGAAATGAATGATTCGCACGTTTTGTTCGCCAGACACTTCGAAACCTCTTCAGAAAAATAGCTGAAATTAAAATAATAAAGGCATATAGAAAGCGTACAGTCTGTCTGTACAACTCTTGTCGAATTAACTCTGATTCATGATTAGTCATCAAAAACAATACCGAATGCATTGTGATTCACATTTTACAGATTAGTTCTCATGTCTTATTATTAGCCTGAATGTGTTATACACCGTGAACAGTGTATGCAGGGTTTTGTATCAGCCTTCATTAAAACTGTTTGAATGAAAGTCATGATGAACTGGTGCGAACTAAGGGAATCTGATCTAAACAATTTGCATGTGACTGTGTGAATAATTGCAGATCATTTGTCAACATATTCAGAATCAAATGAAACGGCGTTAATGTTGGTGGTAATTATGAGTCATCAATGTTTCATTTGAAGACTTCAGTTACACATATCCCTAATGAAAGCACAACGGAGAGTTTCAATAAAACATCAATATGACGTCACACTAGTTACTAGTGTCTAATCAAACATAAACATATTTTATCATATAAGATACACATAATCAGAATCAATAATTAGGCATGAAGATTAGTGATTCATATCTATACTACTAATTGATCAAGACCTGTCATCCATCAAAACAGATGTGACGGTATCATCTTAACTAACTTATTGATATGATATCCTTCCAAATAATATCATAAATAGATTGTGAAACATTTCATTCCTGTTGATGGCATAACTTGCGACTCAGCTGCATAAGAGAATTATGCCACATTATTTGTTTGCTGAATGTCTTACACGACTTCACTAGGAGGATATCACTTCACTTTCAGACACTAGCACAACTTACATGAACTAGTTCGTTTCCATGATTCTAGTTTCATAGATTTCAAAGAAATTGAAGCTAATTTGGATGTAAAACACCTTGAATTGTGTTTTTCCTCCAATCTTTCTCGGTATTTCTATATCAAGTTAGTTTGTAGAAAGATATTTTCCGCATTAATCCAAGCTATCAGTCAGTAATTTGGATAACTATTTTGATAGAAAATTCGGTTTCTAAAAATCACTGACGAAGAACGAGGGAAAATCAAACTTATTGTGTTTCTGTGTTCTTTTCTTTAGGATTTCGAATCCAGACATAGTTGAATTCATGCAAAAAATGGGATTCCCTCATAATTCTTCCCAGTTATTAAATTATTACGTGTCGAAAGTTGTCGATATTGTCAAAAGTGTTGCTGACCGAAATCCTTCGATTACACCTATTTTGTATCAAGATGTTTTAGAATACGGGTATCAGGTAAGTGTTGATATCAATAGTTGACCTGCTACATTACGGTTACCGATAGATAACTAGTGCTGAAAAGTCTATAGTTGTGTCAAAATAGTGTATGGGATCAAGCTATAATAAAAACCGCATATTTTCTGGTTCTAGAGGATTCTTGAAACCAAATTTTAGTAGCTCACTTAAACTTCATGTTAAACATATAGAAATGCTCCGATGTATTGACTCGACCGTCATTTGTATTAACAAAGCCTTTTGTTCAATCTGCTGTAATATTACGTGGAAATTGATTGATCTGGAGTTAGGATAGCTGTTAAAGTGTGCTAATTTCCCGAAGACATTACTGTCAAGGATGACAAGTGTTCTGCCTACCTTTATTTTCAGATTGAAGAAAACCAAGTTCTCATTGCCCATTTTATAAGTCTTTATCTAGCTTGGCGATCGCGCTGCAATCTTGATTATAAGAAATCAGTCAGCGCCAACTCCAAGGATCACAAGTAAGACATAGGTTACTCTGAAGTGACGAATCCTGGAATGACATACTTTTTCCAAAAATTCTAATACCTTAGAGTTGAAAATAGAGCAGTAGCGAGTTGATTGCATCTTTCAGTTGTCGGAAAACGATCCGACTCTGTATTTTTCCATTAAAGATAGACAAACACCTAACACGTCCTCAAAGAAAGGCTTTGGACATCTCAGATAGCTTTGGCATTCCTCATAATAACCACTGTATAATTGAAATCTCTCACCCTAAGAATAAGGTGTCTCTCACTTTCTAGATTACCATCTGATCGTAAATTCCTCTCATTATAGGATATTTGTATTCGTTAAACAAACAACCAGTAATTGCACAAATGTTTGATTCCATCTTATAGGGTGACAAAAACACAGTCATTCATGCTTGGCAAAGATTCAGATGGAAAGAATATGCCAGAAAGGCTACTGGAAAAAGATTCAACGTCATAGTTTCTGGTGGTTGGGATTTAACTCAGCTACATAACGAATATGATTGGATAAAATACTACGAACAAGATATCAGAGAATTTGGAGGTTAGTTGGTTTACCGTATGCTTTTAATAGGAATGGTGCCATCAACCGAACTTATGTGTTGACACTGTCTATTGGATTTGCTTAATTTCGAACTTATTTGTCATTTACCAGTGTTAAACGGTTGGTAATTTGAAATTACACAGTATGCGGTGATATAGGTAACAATAATAATAATAATTTGCTTTATTCCAAAACAGTACATGTGATAGAGAATGGAATTCTCAGCATTTTTACTACAGTTTTGCATCCAGTTAGTACATTATCAATAAATAGAATTTTACATAGATTGAGAAAACCACAGTTCATTATTACAACAATACATTGGCATGTCAGTAGCAAAGGTAAAGCTGAAACAGTGTTTGAAGGTGTTAGAAAAGTGAAAGCTGTCTTATTAACTGGCGTAAGCGAGAGAAAGTAACAAAGCAGCACATAACGGAAAAAGAAGAGAGAGAAAAGGAAAAGAAAGAAAGAAAATGTTGTACCTATCAACGGTATGAGTTGGAAAGACGAGATCCACTTGTACTACTGACTATTTAATGAATTATAGGTGTCACGTCTAATGCTTTCTTGATCACACAGAACACGAGCCAAGTAGGGTATGGTTGAGTTTTTGGACTTGCTGGTGCGAGCATATAGTTTTCTATATTGGCTTCTGGTTTTAACTGATGAGATGCAGGGGGAGAGTTGTGAGTGAAGAGGGTGGTGTGAGTTAGATAAAATGGATTTGGCCCATTTTTCACATGAGTCCATGTGCCTGTCAACCAGAGTATTAGCAAGCTGGTTAAGTGGCACGTTGCTTACCCTGCTAACAACATTTAACATCCTGCGTAAAATGTTATAGTCTTTCTTCAGTAGCCCGGGAAAAACTAAGCGGGAACAACAGAGAATAATAGGCAGGATGCGAGAATTAACGAATTGTAGGAGTAAGGGTTGGGTTATACCAGAATGTTTTAACTTCTTGATGTAGAAGGTAAGACGGAATATTTTCTTAGAAATTGCTAAGATATGAGACGAACAGGAGAGATCAGCAGATAGAATGACACCTAGGTATTTAATTTCCGATTTAGTTTCTATTTCAGTGCCGTCTATGTTGCATACCTCGTGAGAGCCAAACAGTTTGTTTAGGTCGGATTTATGCCTAAAGGTAAAATTGACTGTTTGGCATTTGAAGGGGTTTAGGGTGAGACCATTTTCCTTGGACCACTGGCTGTTTTCTGACAGAAAGCCATTAAGTTTAGAGCAGTCGCTTGACATTTGATAGGCAAAGATACAGACAGATCGTCAGCATATTTCACAAAATTAATGTCATTTGAAGATGGTAAGTCATGTAGAAAGAAAGAAAAGAGAAGTGGGGAGAGTACAGCGCCTTGGGGGACTCCGGCTTCAGTGAGTACAGCAGAGGATGATTTACCTTTGTATACGGTGTACTGCTTTCTGTTAGAGAAGTAGGAATGCAACCAGTTAGTGACCCAGGACTCAGTTTTTGTCAAAGAGAGCTTATTTAGCAGGAGACATCTAGGAACAGAGTCGAAAGCAGAAGTGAAGTCAAGAAACGTGCAGCGGACGTATTTGGCACCTTTATCTAATGATGAGACGATGTTGTTGTATAAGACAGCTGCAGCGTCTAATGTACTCCTACTCTGTCTATAGGCAAATTGTTTGGGGTCTTCGAAGTTTTTTTATGGGGGGTTCAAGTTTAGGAAGCATTAGTTTTTCCACAAGCTTTAGAAACGGTGAAGTGATGGCAATGGGTCTGAACTTTACGTTCTTGCCGTTTCCAAGTTTAGGTACAGGGACAATTCTGATGTCTTTCCATGCATCAGGTACGATATTTTTGGAGAAAGCAGCATTTAGGATGTTGGTTAGTGGAGAACACAACACATCTGCACATTGTTTTAGAACATAGGCAGTTATATCATCAGGACCAAGGCTACGTGAGGGCTTGAGCGTTTTAAGACATTTTAGAACATCGAGAGTATTAAAGTCATGAAAGTTTTCAGCTACATGATAGGTAACATTAGAAGTAGTTAAAGTAGAAGGACAGCGTATAAAAGACTGATTAAGAGCATTAACATCATAAGAGGGAAAAGCATTACAACGCTTACTATTACCAGTAATTTCATTAAAGAGTTTCCACATGCTGATTGGAGATTTACATGATAAAAGTGTATCATTATAGATAGCATTAAGATTTTTGATTTCAGATTTGATCTGAGCATTAATCTTTTTGAGTCCTAACTTGTCTTTGGATTTGTATAAAGTTTCTTTTTTCCTGCGAAGTTGTTTGAGATAAGGAGATGAGAAGCGGTCGAGGCGTTTGAATAGAGTTTGTTTGGGACA